ACCCTCTCGACCCGCAGGCGTCTCTGCTCTTGAGCTCCGCCATCTGCTGTCACATGGGGGCGACCCGGCTGCGGCTTGCGTTCCGCAGCGAGGCGGACAGCCGGACGTTTCTCCGACGCGTGAAGGCGGGTCTCGCCGCGCTCGTGGCGGAGCAGGGCGGGGGTGAGGGGCCGATGCCACCGGCGAGGGCTTCCACTCGAGCCGTGCGGGGAGAGGCGGAGCATGCCGCAACGCAGCTGGCCGCAGAGGTCTCATTAACGGCGGGCCGTCCGGGCGCGTGCGCTGGCGCGGGGGCAGCCGCGAGTCGCAGCGGCGCCAGCGGCGGGACCAACGGCGGGGCGGACGGCGGGGCAGCCGGCGGGACGGGAGGCGGGCCGAGCGGCGGCGGCCGGTGCGGCGATGCCTCTCGCCGAGTGCCGTTTGAGGCTGTCCACTCGCGACTTGGGCAGGTCCAGGCGGGCAGCGGTGCGACGACTGCGAGGGGGGTGCAGGCGCCAAAGCGGGAGGGGCAGGGCAGCGGCGCGCTCGCGAGGAAGAGCGCGTCGTTCGGCAAGTTGGACCTACTTGGCGGCAGCGATGCGCCGGGGCCTCACCTCACCGCCTCGCAGCTGGAGCGGCTGCAGAGCATGCGCGAGTCGATGCAGCGCATTCGAGCTTGTAGCTGACTACCAGCTTCAAGTGTGCGCGCGAGGGGGTGGCACACTCACACGTAGAGCCGAGCGACCATGTGCACAACAGATACGGTAATTTACCGGACGAGACCTCTATGTGTGTATTTTCGCACGGCCATGTGTGTGTGTATTCATTCGCGCCTTTGCGGGGCGCGCGCGGAAAAAGAAAGCTGAAAGGATTTAAAGGTCGTTAAAAAAGAAGCACTTGGAGCACTTGGAGTGCAGTCATTAACCTCACATCCAGGGCCGGGGAGCTAAGAAGCGCACCCAGCGGGCCGGATGATCGGGATCGGGTTACGGGCTAGAGAGCCCTAGCCCCGGGGGTGCGCGTTCGCAGGGCAAGGGCCTTAAAGTAAACACGGGTCTCCGAGGGTTGGTTCTGCGCTTTGGGTGTCCCCTAGCGCCTAGCGGCGGAACGCCCCCTCTACTCGGAGCTAGTAAACACCAGAAGCGACCCACATCAATTAAGATTTAAGTAGTTTAGCTCCCAACCCATATTTGACGGATCTTTAGCTTGGCTAGGAGCACTTGGAGCACTTGGAGTGCAGTTGGTACCTCACATCTGGCCGGGGACCTGGAATGGCTAATCTACGGCTGGTTTCTGCGCCCGAGTTTCGCTAGCGCATCGCCCGCCGAACGTCCCAGACTTTGACAACTATGACTATGACGTCGGCTCTCCCCTGGCCCGGAGCCCTGCTGCTCGGCGGTCTCGCGGCTTCGGCTGCGACGTCTGCGGCATCGGCGTGCCCGTGCGACGAGCTTCTTCTCTCCGGCCTCGACGCCGCCCTCGGTCACACCCCGGGCCAGGTCTACGACGGCTCTTATTCGCTCGCTGCCGACGCGGCCGCTGGAGAGCACCACGTGTACCTACGCGCATCGAATGGGATCTACATCTACTACGTGGAGCAGGAGCAGGTGTGGGTCATCGGTGCCAACGTTGGAAACGCTGCCGGCCTCGCCGTCAACGCGGAAGGTGGAGCCGACAGCGGCTGCCCGGCAGGGCTGCCTAGTGAGTGGGCTGTGCTGGGTGCGGTGGAGCCGTCGGTGAGCCTCGCCTGCCCGTCTTCGCCGCCCTTGCCGCCGCCGCCTCCACCGTTGCCTCCGCCACCCTTGCCACCACCACCACCGCCGCTACCGCCGCCATCCTTGCCGCCGCCCTTGCCGCCGCCGCCTCCACCGTTGCCTCCGCCACCCTTGCCACCACCACCACCGCCGCTACCGCCGCCATCCTTGCCGCCACCATCACCATCGCCGCTACCGCCGCCATCCTTGCCGCCACCATCACCACCGCCGCCAGGGCCGCCGCCCTTGCCGCCGTCGCTGTCACCGCCACAACCTCCACCGTCGCCACCGCCGCCGTCACCACCGCCGCAGTCCTCGGCACGTTTCGAGTCCTCGCCGCCACAGGGTGCCGCCGACAGTATGATTCTAGCGTGCGACGAGTGTGCAGAGTGCGACTGGGATGGCGACGACTCTAACGGGCGGTCGGGTCTAGGCGGGGATGGCCACGACGTGAAGGATTGCACGCAGACCTGCCTGGAAAAGGCCAGCTGCCAGTACGCTGCCCTCTCCAGCAGTGGCTACTGCCACACCTTCACTACCTGCGACGGCACCGGCGGCGGCAGCGGCTGGACTTTGTTCCGCAAGCCCGCTGCTCAATTTCCTGCATGGCTCCACCCGCCTTCCAATCCGCCGCCTTCATTCCCATCGCCACCATCGCCACCGCCGCACCCACCACTGCCACCTTTTCCTCCGGGCAGCGAGCTCGTCCGCACGGTGGCTGAGCTCCGCGCAGCAATTCGAGGCATCGCCAAGGAGATTGTGCTCTCGCCCGGCGAGTATCTGCTTGGTTCGCCTCTAGTGATCGAGCGATCGCTCAAGCTCCGTGCACTTATCCCAAGGACAGCGGTGCTCGACGGGAATAGCAGCACGACACCCATCTACATCAAGATGGTTGGCCTCGCCGATGAAATCGATGAGTCCACAGGTCAATGCAGAACGACAGGGGATTTCCATAAGTGCTGGGATGGTCTTGATCATTGCCCAACCAACCCGACAACAAATCCACAAGTCGAGAAGGTGAGCGTGGAAGGACTCGTTTTCACGTTTTTTCGAGACGACGCCGCAGGAATCGACCTCATCCTTGTGCATAATAGCCCGCGGGAGCGAGCTTATCCTCGCCCCCCCCATCACAGGAGCTCATCGCGGCCGGCCTCTACCGCGACCTCGCCATCGCCTGCTTTTCGGGGCTGCACCGTCAGGCGCGGCCAGCACTCGGCATCCACTCGCACTCTGCAAAGTCGCTCGATGTCAAGTCGCGCCATCACTCTCGGGTACGATAGGTGTCGCTCTCTCTGCTGGCGAAGGCGATTGGCGCAATCCAGCGGGCACAAGATTCTGTGTCGATCCGCCGCAGTCTGTCGTCAATGTTGTCCCGCAAGGCCCTGACTTCGGTTGAGGCCGAGTCATCACTAACGGAGGCCTCTTTGCCGGAGACTTCCGCGTCTGTTGTCGCGGCGTCTCGGGTCTAGGCTGCACACGACCTGGCAGCCAAATGGCAGGTGCAGGGACCGTGCAGAGTGGCGTGACATGTTACGACTGCAGAAGAGAAATCACTGTGAGAGTCGTGATTTCTTGTTGGTTAATAAAAACCTCTCTCTGCAGAAGATGTGCCAGGCCCTCATTGCTCGCCCCATCGAGACCCCCCCTTATTTCCCCCCCTGGTTTTGGTGTGTGTTTCCCTTACCAGCCGCGCGGTATTATTTTTATCAAATCGCCCGGATCCGAATGGCTCCTTTGTGGTGCTCCTTGAGCACTTGAGCACTGGATAGGTTCCGCATGGTACGTGACTCCATGCTCGACCCCAGCTCCGCCCTCGGCCGCTTCGCCGGCCGCCTGACGGGCTACGCCTTGCTTGCCACCGCTTACCTTGACGCGCATGCCCCGCCACGCTTCGCATCATACGCGCTGAGCACGGCGTCCAGCCGCGGCGATGGCCCTCTGCAGCACCTGGATGGTGGAGCGACGCAGCGGTTCGCTACCTCAGCTGGTAGT